GCTAGCTGAAGATTATGTTATGGGTACTAGACAACTGATATAAATACAAAGATTTTTTTTCGTAAATACATATATATTATCTATACATAGAAAACACCCAGACCGTTACAAACAATCATACTCATGAATACAAATGTTTGCAGCGTGCGAGGAATCGAACCCTCGACCACCAAGCAGGAATCAAAGCAGTGTGCTAGCTAAATCGCTAGACTACCGACAACTAGCTGTACACGCGACTTCGTCCGCGTGGAATTTAACTTCTTATATTTTAGAAAAATAAAGTTAAATTCCACACGGACGAAATCCCGTGTACAGCTAGTCATCAATAAAAAAACACGTAGGTATCTCTAATATACTATACACTAGCTGTTCCCGCGACTTCGTCCACGTGGTTTTTAACTTTATTTTTCTAAAATAAAAGTAGCCTAAGTTACTCCTTATTACATCAGCTACTGGCAATAAAAGTTACGTCAAAATCATACCAGCCATTTCATAGATTAGCCGGAACAAACAGACAGACAGACAAAAATTGTAAAATATGTTATTTTGGTGTATGTACCGTATTTATATTCATATGCAAGTAGTAAAAAACGGTTATTTCAATATTACAAACAACAGGCTTCAACATTCTCAAGTACCACAAAAAAGATGTTTTTATTAAAAACAAGCTGTTCCCGCGACTTCGTCCGCGTGGAATTTAACTTTATTTTTCTAAAATAAAAGTAACCTAAGTTACTCCTTATAAATCAGCTACCTGCCAAAAAAAAGTACCGTCAAAATCGGTCCAGCCATTTCAGAGATTAGCCGGAACAAACAGACAGACAGACAGACAGACAGACTAAAATTATAAAAATAGTTATTTTGGTATATGTACCTTATATATATTCATATGCATGTAGTAAAAAACGGTTATTTCAATATTACAAACAGACACTCCAATTTTATTTATATGTATAGATGTATAGATTATTATTTATTTATTTATTTATTCATCCAAAATAATACAAATTGTGTAGGATAACGTAATAGTAACATTACAGTAAAATTTTGTCAACAACATAATAGCAACTTAAATATTAAATCTCGGTATATCTATAGACTAGCTGGCCACAGCGACTTCGTCCGCGTGAAATTTTATTTTATTTTTCTAAAATAACAGTAGCGTAAGTTACTCTTTATTACATCAGCTACTTGCCAAAAAAAGTCCCGTCAAAATCGGTCCAGCTATTTCAGAGATTAGCCGGAACAAACAGACAGACAGACAGACAAAACTTGTAAAATATGTTATTTTGGTGTATACCGTATTTATATTCATATGCAAGTAGTAAAAACGGTTATTTCAATATTGCAAACAGACACTCCAATTTTATTTACATGTATAGATGTATAGATTAAAAAAAAGTAACAGTCATAAGGCTAGTCGTATGCCTAATATATATAATAATGTAATAAATTCATTTAAACAGAAATTGCGGCAACATTATTTAAATTTGTAACTTTTTTACTGTCCTTCTCCAATTTTCACATCTTTCTGTTATATCCCTATAGTTCTCTCTATATTTTCTGTTTTTCTTACTTTCAATTTGAGACTGTACTTATAATTTGATTATCAGATCATTATGTATTTATTTATATATAATATTTATACATTTATGGGTTATATTTAAATGAATTTAATCGATAAAATCGTTGTTAAGTATTAAATTAATTTTAAGTGATATTAACTATTATATTATGCATAAAAAATATTTGTAATAATAAAGAAAATACATTTAAAATGTTTTACTTGTTGTGTTAGTTATTTATAAGATCTTACTATAATTGTTAGCTGCTTTACAATTTAGAAAGTACAATAGGTAATGTAAATTAAAATTAATTGAATACTTAACAACGTTTTGTTTGATTAAATTCATTTAATTATTAAAATAGTTAATTTAAAATTAGAATAAAGACAAAAAAAAAATACCAAAAAAAAAATAGGTGGCGGGAATCGAACCTTGAGCGTCCGTTTGGTAAATTGATTCAAAGGCTTATTAAAATCAAAATTCAAAATTCAATGGCTTATTTCTTCGAAATTACTGGTCATTTTGAAATAATACTTAGGGTTCGCATACCCTTATCGGATACTACTACTACACGGAGTTTCGTCAAAATAAAATATCTAGGTTAGGTATAATAAATTCATAATTAATAGACCGTTACGGTATCTGTATATATTCGGATCAAAACAAGTACTATGAAATAAGAACGAGTATGTAAATTGATTAACACAAGTAATTGATTTTTGAAATATATTCAGAGCCAAAAAGTCTTCTTTCTTTATTTATGTACTTGTTAGATGCGACAGCGACTTTGTTTTATACTATACTATACTATACTATGTAATGATTGATATACCTAAAATAAATAAAATATCTGAGGTTTGGACAAAAACTCAAAGGGTAATTTATTTTGAAAAAGTATTTTGAAAATACCTATTTTGCTTTTAGTGTTATAGTACTTTAACTGTTATGTTTTAAGTAACAATGTTTAATTATAATTAATACTACTGCACCAACACTCCGATCGTGCAAAAAAATTTGCTGTTTCATTATTTTTTAGTTCAATTAGTGATCTACCTAAGTCCTGGGCTAAGGGGGGGAGAGTCATGACGCCCCCATGACTCCCATGACCTCCATGACGCTCCCCCCTGGATCCGCCGTTGCGTCTTCTCTTTATTCGCTCAGTAACGTTGTTACAAAAGAAAAGATTCCCGTCCAAAAAATAACAAGTATTGAGGTTTGATCTGGAGTCACGTTACTCCAGACTGATTTCTATAAATATTTAGATTAGATAGACTATTATTCTTGAAATACTAGCTAGACATTATTAAGTTACTGTAGCCATAATGTAGTAGCCCAAACGTGCCAATGAGGAAGCTCTTGGCAAATGCTGCACCCTGATTGGCCCGTTTGAATTGGATCAAGAACTGCTCGTATGCCAAAAAGGTGGATTTGTATAAAATCGTGTATAAATCGCTTAATTATTATTATTACTCGTCGTGACAGTTGTGGCTCAAAACGGATCAACATTTATATATGGTCAGCTGGCATTAGATCAACAAAAGGCCTCCGGATCAACAAGTGAAAATGGATCAACAAAAAACTACCTATACGGCACGTCTGAGCCACAAAGTGCCCAAGGGGATATTTATATATATAACTTGTTTGCCTGTAAACCGATTGGAATAAAATATGCAATAAATTTGAAGTGGAGCTTAACTTCATTATAATATTTTAGTTCGCTAACTTTTCAAGGCATCTAAATTTGTTACGCCATTTGCTAAGGAGCCAGTCACAGGGCGCTGTCAGTTGCGTACTAACGCTACAAAATTAAACATTATAGAATATTTTTTTATATAAAATCACAGTATACCGTACACTCACGATAGTCGTGTCATACAATTTTGTTTCCATAGATACAGACGTATCATAAACCATTTCAGATAATGTCAGATAAAGGGATATTGAAATGTGCTGCCTCTATGTCATGTACCTACTATTCACTAATTAGGTACCTGTGGGGGAGGGGATTGTTAATAACAGGGATTAATGACACATTGTTAGCAATTAACAATGTTAGCATGACTTCCACGCAGTCCCCTCTGAAAACCATATGGTAGCTGCCTGGCCATAGCTAAATCCTAGAGAATTCGCCATGATGAGCTAACACTGAATTGACCTCATGCTCATCTTGCCATCCTTCGTAGGTGTCTCGCCAGTACACCTCGTAAACCCTTTAGCTTAAGTAGGTGCACCATTCCAATATCATCAATAAAAAAAATATATAGGTACCTACTGAGGCAGGTAATTGTTAGTAATCTAAAACCCTATTGCCAATAATTTAACATGTCATATTGAACCTCCACATGATCCTTTTGGAAACTGTCCTGATTAATTCCTCTAAAATTGACTCGAGGGACTTATTAAACTTTCATACTCATCCTGTCTTCCTTCACTGGTATTCAGCCAGTATATAGTAAGTTTTTGAAGTCCAATGTTTAAATTAGAATCAAGAGCAAACCTGCTGATCAAATTGATTAAAGAAAACATTACGCTTCTTTCAAGCATTAACATGAGCAAGTACAAATATTTGTTTATTCACTAGCTCACATATCAGATAAAGATAAAATCACAATCAGTATAAGCAGCACTATAAATATGCCCCGAAAACTAAATTATATATATTTGTAACACAATATTCGGCTCAATAATAAAAAATATAGTAAATAGAACTACAACTAAAATCTAGTCAAAAATACTATGAGTACTATTGACTAGGTTTTGTATACTAAGTAACTGTGTATTTTTTGTTAAATAAGATAAAATCACAATCGGTAGAAGTATTATTCAAGAACTGTACTATTTAATACTATGCCTAAGTTATATGCAAAATACGCTTGACAAAGCTAAATAATAAATAGTATCTATATTAAGTAGAACTAAATAACACTATGGTAATTTTGTTAACAGATAGATATAGACTTATTCAAAAATATATAGCAACAATATAAAAAAACAAATCATAAATAATTTATTCATGTAGGACCTTTTTGTCGCTTATGAACGTCAAGTTTTTTACTGTAATATTTTTCCCTTACCGTACAGATCAGTATATAAATTCAATTGAGAAGAACTGGCAAGAAACTCAAATGAATTTCTTTTTTTTACTCAGTTAATTTACATTGTATATTTATATATAACATTGTATTTCTATGTTTAACATTAAATGAAAATACCGCAAATGAACAACTATTGCCATACACGTATTTCTTTAATAAGTTTAGGCAGTAATATATCATATGGGTACTTAGCAATCCTAAATAAGTTAGCTATTCTAAAAATTTTTAGTGTGTGTGTGTGTGAACGCTCTAAATCTGTTAGGTAACCCTAATGATATGGATGGATGCCAAATTAGTGTGTTATCTCCACTCGATACTATGCTCTGATAAATGTTTGCAGTGCTCCACGCGAAGTCTGCGATGTGGTCGCGAAAGCACTCCGTCTGCAGCGCTGTAAGTGGCGCCTCCAAGTGCGAAGATGGTGACGGTCAACTCACCAGCGGTATTCAGCTTTATCCATTCGCTATAGCGTTACGAGTTCGTGTACTACAGGTAAACATACACATAATATATGTATATATAATATTATATTGCCGACCTCGGTGGTCTAGCGGTTTAGCACAACGCTTTACGTCTGATGGTTGCGGGTTCGATTCCTCGCACAGTACAAACATTTATATTCATGAGTATATGACTGTTTGTATTGGTTTGGATGTTTTCTATATATATTAGATATGTATTTCCAAAAAAAGTAGATATATATGCATTTGTGTCAGTTGTCTAGAATTATAACACAAACACTGATTAGCTTAGAACTAGATGGTTCTGTGCGAATTCTCGTGATATACTATATATATTTTTTTATGTATATAATATTTCAGTATATATAATATATCTTCACATTTGTCATCTCAAATGGATAGAAAAAGCTATTGTCAACTGTCGACATTGTGGTGAATACTTAATATTGACATATATTCAACGTGCCAATAATCTATCTCTTCCTATTAGTATAGTTAATAATGTACCACGTCAGGTACCAGGTAGGTAAAAAACATCGTGGTTTCATCTTAGTAAATTCGCCACAATGGACTAATTGATCTGACATCATCCTCATCTAATCATGCTCCAATAATATGTACACCAGTCCGTAATTATCCAATACGCATAATTACTATTTTCATAGTATTTCTAAGTGAGAATATTTCTATAAATACCTATATTAAATGTGCATAATCCAATACTCTATAACAATTTAAACAAACATAACTGAGCAAAAGAATTTGTTTATTTGAACGCTCTAAGCTCTAGAACTATGATACTTATAGAAAATTCTTTTCGCAATTTATTGCACTGTTTGTTGAGGAAGATTTGGTAACTGTTAAACATCACGCTATAACGCATAGAAGCCGAGCCAAAAATTAAAAGAGACGTTAAACAAAAACGAAGTCGAGCAATAGAAAATTTACTTTCTAGCGCTGTACACGCGCCTCTGTATGGTATTTAACTTTTTTTTATTAAATTACTAAAATATAAGTTGTCCCTGAAATTCACGTCAAAAGGACCTAGAACAAATTTTATAAGTAGACCTAGAAGAAATAAATACCTAGTATGAATAGACATACAGTATATTTGTTAAATTAACTCTTTGATCTAAGTACTGTATGTACTTTCATATGCATTTAGTGAAAAACAGACATAACAATTTTATTTATATACTAGCTGTCCCGGCAAACGTTGTTTTGCCTTAAAATAAAAAAAATTAGGGCTGGACTACCCCTAACATTTAGGGGGATGAAAAATAGATGTTGGCCGATTCTCAGACCTACTCAATACGCTCACAAAATTTCATGAGAATCGGTCAAGCCGTTTCGGAGGAGTATGGGAACGAAAACTGTGACACGAGAATTTTATATATAAGATATAGATTAAATTAAGATTAATACGCGGTGATTAAGTTTCATTTATACTTAGATTCATCTTTTCATAAGCATAACAGTTACTGAAATAATCGCGACAAATAAAATAGGCCACCTGCAAAATTTTCTGGATTTACAGTTAATGCCAGCCATATTTATTTTACAGTATCGTCATGCAGCTTATTTATAGCACTCTGACAATCAAAAGGAATATAATTACTCTTCGTTCATTAAATGATTCTGTTTACGATACACTTAAGGAACACATATTCTCTGTTTAATTTAAGCTTTTCGTATAAAGAAAATGCTTCATTTAATTTAATTTATACGCGTCAACACTCTTTAGTTATACGTTCCAAGTCAACTTTGACCTTTTATATATATTATATTACCTATTATATAAAACAAACTGACGATAATGGGAACTGTTAGCTGTTAACATAAACTTATTTGACAGCTCTACAGACATTTTGACGTTCGTGGTTTAATCAGTCTTGTTGCAAACTCTTTGCACTAATTTAGATGTATTTTCTTTCGTTTATAGAATTGTCATATTTCATATTGTCACTTTTTCCTTGCTACTGTTTGTACCTTCATTATAAATATTTACCAATTCCTATCTATCGTTTGATTTATATCACGCATACAGTCCATACATACTATCGCCTATAGTACGTACTTGTCTTATATTCCTAAGGACTAAGGTATAACAGTGTTGAGATATTAACGGCCTCGGTGATCTAGTGGTTTATCACACCGCTTGTTGGTCGCGGGTTTTATTCCTTGCATGGTAGAAATATTAATATTCATGAGTATGATTGTATCTGTCTGGATGTTTTCTATGTATATTATGTATGTAGTATTAAGTATATCAGTCATCTAGTATCCATAACACAAGCTTTGCTTAGCTTGGGACTAGATGACGTTGGGTTAGTCGTTTATGAATATTATATAATTACACAACAAAAAGAGAAAATGCAAAGTTAGCTTATAAATAAGTAAGTTAAAACAATAAGCTGCAAAAGTAGAAATAAGTCAAATAATAGCAGCAATAATTGATTGAAGACGCGGCTGTTGGGTTTTTATTTCTATTATTTTTTATTGTAAAATTTCAGATAACTTCATATTATTTATGTACCTAACAATATTGGTCTATATTATATGTTATACCTTATATATAACAAACTACAATACAATATGAAGTAATAACATATAATAAATATTGTCTTTGTGGATACACCACCTTAGGACAGTAATCTTCGCGAAGGACATTTTTTGAAATAGGGTAAAGAATTATATAACAAAAATCATATATTATGTATATTGTGTCTTAGCCAGAGTCCATGTCTAATGTAATCTTTCGAGTGCTCGGAATATGGCATATCCTAAAACATCCATAGTAAGGCATAGATTTCTATACGCATTATCTCTTTGGCCATAACAAATTTCCATAATATAATTTAGGCATCTTTATACGGATTCCAGTTACTTAGATTTTTACATAGATATTCTTACTTACTTAGACATTTACATAGATATTATATTAACTTTGTCTATAAATCACATGTTATTAAGAAATCTATTTTTTATATAAGTCTATTTGACGAAAATAGATGCGTCTTTTTACTCTTTATTTAAGATTAAGTACACAATAATTTTTTATAAGTTAAAATATTCGATGCCACGCTTCACTGAACAATCTGTTTGTAACTTTTATTGTTCATCAAAAGTTGGGAGAATTTCTATCAGCTCGGAACAAGGAACCCGATGTCAGCAGTATTATTTAACGAGATCTAAGTGACACCTCCCTGATAAAAAAAGCTAGCTGGCAAATTAGTTGGTAAACTTTGACGGGCAGGTTAAGACACCCCACTGCTTTAATCTTAAAAAACGTTTGTTGACATTTTTTCTTTATTCTAGCCCGTATTATGTATGTATAATAATCAAAAACATATAATGATAAATTTTTATTCCAACTGTTTTTATGTTTTAATGGCAAAATTACAACGCTTTTACTTTCATGATAGGGTAAAACTAACTAACACTCATTTTCTCCGCACGGATGTCTAGTAAGAGGCATTTAACGAAACAAAGCACGAATATATTGTCCAAGTGTAGGAAGTCTCAATAGAAACATGTACCAAACCGCCGGACCACCATGATAATAATATAATATCTCAGGACAATTTTGTAATATCTCAGAACAATTCACACAGCGCCATCTAGTCCCAAGCTAAGCAGAGTTTGTGTTATGGGTACTAGACAACTAATATAAATATATGGATACATTTTTTTTGTAAATAAATACATATACATATTATACATAGAAAACACCCAGACTGCTGCAAACAATCAAACTCATGAATACAAATGTTTGTACCGTGCAAGGAATCGAACCCACGACCATCGGATAGCAAAGCGGTGTGCTAAACCACTAGACTACCGAGGCTACATTCTAACAAAGAGAATCTACTGCTAAGTAGTAGGTTAATAATTCGTGAACTAGACTGACAGGAAGTGATTGAGAGTTTCTTGTTATCATATTTTCCTCATACCATGTGTGTATGATAATGTTAATCCTTTTTTATACTTTGACTAAACCGCTAGTCCTTTACTATTCCTATATTTTTACTCAACAAAAACTCATAGTAAATATCATAGTATATCTACGAATTTTGTTAGACCCACGGAAACACGTTAGCATTCGGCTGCGAGAAATAAAATGTATTTTAATTACGAGATTGCAAACAGACATCTGTTTATTCTTTATATGTACAGACATATAAGTGGTGGCGATATGAATAGCTCAACATATTACTGTAAAGACGTAGTGATTACTTACTCATTGATTTATTGATTACATTATTTTTAGTTACACTGTTCAACATCATTCAACAAATACTCAGAATAGGTATTTGTTGATCGATGAAAAACAAGTTTTTTTTTATGATAACTATAAATTATATATATTTTTATTAATAAGTGCAGAAGGGTGCACCTATCTGAGTTAATTATATACGATATGCCCTCACATGCCACTTGTGGAGGATGATTATGATGACGATGACGGTCAGGTCTCATCAGTTAGCTCATTGTGAATCTGATTTCTAGTAGGTAATGGAGTCTCAAGTGCATTATTAAAAATAGAAACACTCATCTTCCGTAACTCATATATTTTGGCGCAACAATATTCGTCTGTTTACATGATAAATTGAAAAACAACAGTAATATCATCACTGGAATTGTATATATATATTATATTATAAATATTTGTATTGATTCCACCTGATTATGAATAGTTTTATGTATAAATATAAAATAAAATCTATTATTTCATTCGGTACATCTTGATATCATAAATTGGTAAATCTGAACAATCCTATAAATGATAATTTTAATAAACTGTCTTGCTCTCTATTGAATTAATATTGTCTGTTGAAACAATAATTTACCTAACGAGGAATAGTGCATTATTACAACCAATTTGTTATTTATCTTTACAATCTTGCGGGAAAAAAACAAATGTGGAAATCCAAGATTACATTCTCAATAATGATTTACTCCTAAGTCCTTAAGCCGTAATTTCGGTGAGGATTTATCACAACTACATACTACTATATTCTTGTTTCCCTCCGAAATAGTTCGGTTTAGATTTATTTGTACAAGTCTTATACGAGTATTATAACATTTTTTTACAAGATTTGTAAAATCACAAGGTAAAACCTGTTTGTGTGGTAAGGTGTTATGCAAGAGCAGCTGGAGGAATTGACAATTGTGAAACAATTTGATGTTGAATATGAATCAAAATTAGGGTAAAGAAAATAAATTATCCCCCAAAAATATAGAAACATGTATTTTGATTCTTTTAAATTCAGGAATAAATTAACAAATGGCGTCTTATACTGATATTTTATTTATTGTGATTGTTTGATTAATGTCTATAGTTGAATCTACTAAATGTACACGCACACTAAGGCGCGGGTATATCGACTTCTGCAAGTATCGACTTTGTTAAATACAACAAATACTTATCTATAATTTGCTTCCTTCTAATTACAACAAGAAATTAGCAAAAACAGAATAATTTACACCTTTTTGCAATTTAACTAGTTTGTCCAATTCGTATTAGCAAATTATTTGATTTGACAAAAAGAAAATATAATATAAAACGATTGTGAGTACAGCACAACGATTTTTTTGGCATAGAGACTGTTATCACAAATTAAGTTCGTGTTTAAGCGATTATCTTTATTTCAAACTAGCTTACTCATGCCTACTACAACTGCCACAAAAATACCTTTTAATATTTATATTAAAATATAAACATAAAATATGACACTCACAAGTAACGTTCTATTTGTAAAACCAATTTACAAAATCGTATCAGTACATCCAGAAATTACCCCTATAACCTCTCAAAATTGACTCTTTATACTTAATATTAGTATAGATAAATTTAATTCTTGTTAATATTCATATAATTAACAATGTGAAAGGGATAATGTTTAAATTTAGGATAACAAAGTTTCATGGAATTTGCAATTACACTATGTAAACAAGGATAGGCGACTGCCTAACATTGTTTGCATACCAATAATGTATATTCTCATTTCGTTACCTGTAGCAACTGAATTATTATAGTCTATACAACATGAAATATCTTCAGTTACAAAAATTAATACATTCACAACTATTATGCTAAGTCAAAGACTATGAATATCGTGTCGTACACAACATTTGACACAACGAAATTTCGCTGGGATAGCTATACTATAATGAAAAATATTTGTCTTAAATCAGCCTACTTCCTTATAATACAACCTCACAAACTTTACATTCTTATAATATTAGTATAAACTAATTTATCTCTTCTATTTATCATGTAATTAACAACAAAAAAGGGCTAATGTTTAAAAAGAGGATAAAGTTTAATGGAAGTTGCAATTACAATATGTAAACAAGGACAGACGACTGGCCGACGTCGTTCGCATACCAATAATGTATATTCTCATTTAGTTACATGTAGCAACTAAATTACTACATTTTACACAGCCTTAATTAAAAAAAATAATACATTCACAACTGTTATGCTATATGGGGTAGTCAGAGGTGAATATCGTGACGTACATAACACACGAAGTATCAGTAATATTGATGACACGCAATAACATGTTTAGTGCAAGACTATTGAATCGAATTATTAAACTAAGCGACACTCCAATAGTGATTTTAGGACTCATATAAAAACTATTTTGTGTATCAGTTTACATGTTAAAAGATAGCACTAATAACAAAACAAAATTATTTATTTATTAACGGTACAATATTTATATATATACATCATGTAGTATATATACTATATATGTTTTAATATGTAAGTTTATTTATTTGTGTTTATAAAATGTATATAAGTTTAGTAGTATATAAGTAAGTGTATAATAAAAATAGTGTCGAGACTAAATTCATGCTTAACTTGGTGGCCTCTGGTGATCTAGCGGTTTGCACCGCTTTAGTTGCGATTGTCACTGGTTCGGTTCCTCGCACGGTGCAAAAATTTGTATTCATGAGTATGATTGTTTGTATCGGTCTGGGTGTTTTCTACGTATATTTGTACGTATTTACAAAAAATATATACAATTATATCAGTTGTCTACCTATTACACAAGCTCTACTACTACGACTAGATGGCGATGTGTTAATTGTCCAAAAAAAAATGCCAACCAAGAATGCCAACTAAAGAAACACTTGTATATAATATATTTTTATAACAAGCTCCGTTAGTACGAACCAATGAATAAATCTCAGTGCCGACGGGTCTGAGCAATGCAATAGACTGGAATAGTCGTATTTGCTAGCCTGTCGACTTATTTCACGATTTCGATTTGTGCACTGGAAACTTTTAAATTGATCGTAAACACCATCTGCGTAGTTTGTAATTCTCAAAAGGCATGAATCTTAAATAGATTGTAAATATAAAATAGCGACCATAACTTAATGATTTTTTTTTCTATAACCGACAGCTGTTGTTAGGAAATACACATCTATACCAATAAATAAAATGCAAGTGTCTGTTTGTAATTTTAAATTAACAACTTACCACTAAATACATATGTAAGTATGTATATATTTATTATATCAATAGAAAAAATCTGTCTCTTTATTCTTTCTAATCTCTGAAACGGTTGGACCGATTTTGACGGAACTTTCAGTCGCAGATAGCGAATGGTATCTGAGGAGTAACTTAGGTCACTATTATTTTAGAATTTTTTTTAATAAAAAAAATCCAGTTGGACGTAGTCGAAGATGACAGATATTATATAATAAAAATGGAACTGATCGCTGACTTTATATGAAAGATACTATATGATAAGATACGAGAAAAACTATTATTGGAGAACTTTATCAACAATGTACAACCCAAAACAAGAGTTATTAGAACTTAAGTCTCCTCGTCTGTACGTTCGTTCTTATAAATGTTTGTGTGCGTTAATCTTAGAAACGCCTTGACGAAGTTAGGTGCAGCTTTTCGCTAATGTATTGTAGTAGACTACATTTAGAATTTTGTATTTATTTTATTACAATCTTTATAAAAAGAATACACAGAGGGCCGCGGGCTTAGCTAGTATTAACATATAAGTAGAGAAAAGCTTACTATATGACTTTTTCCAGCACACATTAATAACAAAAAACTAGAACACACTGCTTTCGTAAACAAAAAAATAACCTAGTATTCGAGTTACTTTGTAGCAAAAAGGACATTTTTATATATGTGATTATATGACTAAGACCTAAAGATTTATGGAACAAATAAACAGAAAATGTTATATTCATATATTATAACTAGCTGTTACCTGCGACGTTGTCCGTGTGGAATTAAAATAAATGAAATTACTTAAATAAAAATAGCTTAAGTTACTACTTATAACATTCTATCTGCGAGTGAAATTTCCGTTAAAATCAGTCCAGCTGTTTCAGATATTACAAGAACAATCAGACAGATAGACAATAAAAATTTAGTAACATTTTTTATGTAAGTACCGTATATTGTATTGTATTTTATTTATATTTAGTGATAAACTGTTAATTTGAAATTATAAACAACTACTTTAATTATATTTATTTGTATAGATTACGTGTCATATTATCAGTATTTTGATTGTTAAAAATTAACTGCACGGCTATGACGTCGATTTTTAAGAACCTAAATGTTGTTTACATTTTTTATGGGTTAGACATAAAAACGATAATTCCTGATGTTTCGCTGCTATAAATGTCCTGGTTGACTAGAGATAACCGTGGATGTAAGCAATATTAGAAGCAGGGAAATCTGTCTACTCGTTCTTTCTTAGTCTTTTCGTCTTTTGTCTTTTCTTCGACCGCTGCTACTATGAAACGCTTATGGTCACGAAAAAACATACTTGCTTGGATACGCATAAAACTAAATCTCGAATCATATTATGTTGATAAAATTCGTTATAAACAAACATGACGATTACTGGGTACTCGACGCCGGATATCGACTCATTATCATGTTTTCCCATCTCGTATGCTGGTAAAAATAGTTGGTGTAAAAATATATGTGAGTATGTGAACTGTGATGGAAAATGAAAAATAAATACTATCAAAGGACGTATAATATAAATTTCACAGTGTATTTATTCGGAAATTAACGTATCTAGTGCTTTTTATGGATGCTAATGGAATGATACTTGCGTTACCGTTTCACACTAGCCGGTCACCGGGGATGTAATAGGGTGACTATAATTTCAGGTAGCCTATTGTAACGAATCGATGGATAGTATGAGTGTCTAAATCATGAAGAGCTGTAGAGACTAGAGTTTAGTGAGCTCCCGGTAGCTTCAATGTATATATATAGAATTCGTCAATTTTCTAATTATTAGATCATAATTTTTTTTTGGATCGGTAAAAAATTTATATGGTAGAAAAACGTTTGCCGAGTCAGCTCGTTTTTATATATTTTTTAGTTCTTTCTTACAATGAAATGGCGTTTGATATTGTGTAAAAATTACATATTTCGTACTAAAGTATTCCTCTTATCTCGCCAGATCGTATGCGGTATCGGTGGATTGGTGGTGGGAGCGGTCGGCTGGTTAGAAGAGAGACAGAAGCCAGAGTTAGGGCTGGGAGTACCAGCCGGGGCTGTCACTGTGATTGCTGCAGGTGAGGACATCTTAACATATCTACATTTGTGATGAGATTCAGAATATTTGAGGTCAGTATTTCGTAATAAAAGACTGTTATCTATATACTAATATTATAAGGCTAAGGCGAGTTTGTTTTTTTGAATGCGCTAATTTCAGGACCTACAGGTTTGAATTGAAAAAATATTTTTTGTGGATAGCCCACCATGCACGATAGATTACTCGCCATATCGAGGTAGGCTTTAAGCTATATAATATTACGCTACGACTAATAGAAGCGAAGCATCATTGAAAAATGTTGCAATAACGGGGAAAACGATAATGCAACGATAACTACGCGAACGAAGTCGCGGGCACAGCTAGTCTCACATAATTCAATAATAGTGTTACGTGGAATGTATTCCGTGAACAATATATTGAGGATGAAGTCGAGTCAGTCTGTTTATCGTGACGAATGCACTCGGATTTTATCACGATTATTTCCAGGGTGGACAGGGTGTAAGGGAAAGGGTAAATATAAATACGGTTTATTCCGAGGAATATGTCACACCTATGGATAGAGCAATACAGAATGTAAACACTATAAAGGACGACACTAATTTCTAACTTCTTTCTTTAATTTTCATCGATTCTTTCGTTATTGGTTTACCTAAAAACCATTTGCACTTTATACTTCACAATTTACAACACTTCTAGATTCTACAATGTATATGCCCTAAATTTTACCACCGTTATAATATAATAGATTCCACCGACTGATATCAAGCAATACGTCATTGTTATTCGTAGATATGGAAACGAATTTTGTACCTATATAAAAGTCCACTTTATTTTTAATAGTTTCGAATTGAAAGGCGGGTATATTAATCATTTTGAAAAATGAAACTGTCGCGTGTGTGCTGTTTAGTGGTCTGAATTTACACCATACTCAATATTGCAAAACATCTAAAAATATATAATAAATAACAACTAAAAAATAAACACAATTGATAAATTAGACGGCCTTAGTGGCTTAGCGGTAGAGCACAACACTGGACATCCGATGGTCGCGGGTTCGATTGCTCGCAGAGTTGAAACATTTGTATTCATGAGTATGATTTATTGGTCTGGGTGCTTCCTACATATATTGTGGACGTATGTACAAAAAAGTGTTTACGTCAGTTGTCTAGTACCTATAACAGAATTTCCGCTTACTTGGGACTAGATGGCATTGTGTGAATTATCCTGGGGTTATTATTATTATTATTTTTTACCTGTTAATAATAAGCTGTTTGTTAGTTTATAGCATTTCATCATTATCACACCTCCTTCCAGACACTAGTCCGGAAGGAGGCATGATAAGGGGTATGAGAAACTATTCTAAGATAAAAGATATTAAATTAGTAAGCTTATTTCAGCTCTCGTAATACTATCTATCTTTATGTCAAATGTCATTAATATCCACACAGCCATTTTATAATAAAAGTTACAGACAGATTAACACATTTTAACATGTTTAGTATGGGAGTATAGACAGCATCTCTAAAAGGAAAAAAAATCACAATTCAACAAAACGGTGTCAATGTAAGAATACGTTGTACTATCATTTCTTTTCATCTCCAAAATGTCGACTAAAGGAAAAAAATCAAATACATCGGCACAACTGACGGAGAGTTCGAGTTAGAAAGTTCTATACAAAATTTATGATGAAAATACGATTTGTAGAATAAAACTTTCCAAAGATTTCCCAAATTTCAGCCTTGGACGAAACCGGAATGTTTTGTTGTTGTACTGGTGATTGTTGTAACAAGAAATAAATGCAATGTTAAAAAAATATCCACTGGTACTATAAACATAAATAAATAATCAATAATTATAGAAAGCCAGCCATAGCAAATATTCTTTTATATTACGTCACGTCCAGAAATAAGACTAATATTATTTTGTTTATGATAGCGGAAATGAACGAAATAATAATCCATTAAATAAAAAAAATTGCTCTATTTAGAAAAAACTATAATTATCTTGCTAATATTATAAAAAAGAAAGTTTGTGAGTCTGGATGGATGTTTGTTACTCTTTCACGTAAAAACAACTGAATCGATTTTGATACATCAGAATTACACATAGGCTGTAGTTTAAAAGATATTATTTTATATGTAAATTAGCCGAAATATAATGATAAATGTCAAGTACTTAGAAATAAACAAGAGCTAAAAACAACATTATTGAACTGTTACTATATGTATAGCAAGCGGGTTTACTTTGATCAACACGTCGTTATCTATTCCAAAGAGATCGTCTAGATACGGGCATGGAGCGAGATCATTGTCGTTCGTATTACGCTGTTGACCTGAATGCAAAAATCGCTTTGCATTGTACTCTCATACGTTTAGACTGGAAAATATTTGATGTAGAAAGGTTTGGAAGATAAAGAATATAAAATATAAATGTTACAGTAGCTATGACATCAAAATTGTCCTCTCTACCATAAACTGCGCATCTGTGATACGAGCTGATGTATTAAATTAATAGTTTAATATATTGTACCAATTTACATATCTCGAACATTCTCTATGTTAACAAATCATTTAATATATTAATAAAAAACAACACTACACTTATAAAAATAAGAAATAACAAATAAAATAGAATCTAAAACAATCCTCACGACGTAAAGTTTAAAAATATATGTATAAAATTGGACTGTAATTTTTACTTTGTACTGTACCAATCTCCGAGTCGTTTTTCAATGATTGTGGATTATAATAGTTCTATTTAACTCTCGTACGGATCAATGCAATAGAATAAAAGAACCACTGAACGGATTTTTATATAAGTTTACAGTGATATGACTTATACATCAGAATAACACATAGACTATAAATTTCATACGGGTGAAACCGCGGGTACAGCTTGTATAAAACATGTTTCGTATTTAATAACCTGATGTCTTAAACTAAGACACCTACATTATAAATTAAGTAGAATTAAACAAATATATCTACTAAGAGTTACAATTGAATTGCTGGAATTAGCAAAATCCTTATCCTTTGGTTGCGACCTCGTTTAGAATGCCTGGCTCGGTTTTATAATAGCTATCGCTTAGCCGTTTTAATCTTAATTTGAAATTCGATGCACAAAGGAATAAAGGGGATAAGGGACCAGTCACAATGTCAGCGAGAAAGCATCTCTCATCTTGTCATCAAATATTTTAACAGGTACAGTAGTTTGTCTCAGCTTCGGACCGTTACTTGAGTTTTGTATAAATTAACATAATATATAGTCTTTCTTGAATAATGTACTTTTTAAAGAATGGGGAGAGGTGATTATTAGTAATCAGAAATAATGCTAGTGTTAATGTAGCCAACGTGCCTCGCCACTGCAAAACGCATCTGTAAAAGAAAAAATTAAAAATATTAATAATAATACACGTGTAATATTATATATATTAATAAATTTCTTACTTGTTACCATATATTTATTATAATATGTCTTTGTATGGTGTATTAATTAGATTTTGTATGTATGATACCCTGTATACAAAGTAATTAATAATGCATCCACTATCCACACTCTATTTACATACAGACGATACGGATAGCTTAAATTCAACCATTTGAAACTCATCCTTACTGATATCATAGATAAGATAACAATACATACTGTGATATATAGACTTTTTCGTTAGCGAGTACCTCTAGTATAGGCCCTTGTACCATTCCATATTCATTCATAAAAAAAAATATAAAAAATAGTGAGAAAAATTTTAAATTGATAATGCTGTCGTTCTGCAGATTATTTTCCTCATAAACAAAATATAATCTTTATAATATTGGTATAGATTCCTAATAGACCTATATTATATAGCTAGCAGGATGTCCCGTATAGTATAAAATAACTATAGAATTTATATATAACAAGTGGAACATTTCTGTATTAAATCTAAATTATGAGTCCTTCTCACAAAGTAGATAACCCGTATTTCTCAAGACAGAGAGATTGGAATCATTTGAAATACATTCACGATTGCGCGCCTTTGGGATTATTGGTGCAGACTAGATAAGTTAGTCAGCCATGTTATTTTATTCTGAATGTTACAGCGACATCTGTGTACTACAGCCGAGGGTTCGGCGGTTGGGTCTCGGCTAGATCGAGATCGTCGAGGGCCTGGGGCGCCCCTTGGAGAGTACTTGGACCGTCCCCATGCGCGGCCGTCCCACTTACCCTGCTATGGACAGCTGCGTTGGCGGCGCATATAGCTATGTTAGCGTTTTGTATTAGGTCTTTAATGAATATTGGGTAAGTACTTGTAAAAAAGCAATGATAATTATAATAATAATAATATCCTCTGTCTATCTCAAGCTAAGTAGAGTTTGTGTTATGGGTACTAAACAGCTGATATAAATACTTAGATACAATTTTTATTTGAAAATATGGTACATACATAATATACATAGAAAACACGATGACCATGGATGGTTGTACCATGCGAGTATTCGAACCCGCGACTATAGGAAGTACAGAGGTGTGCTATATCGTTAGACCACCAAGGGCGTCAGTTAATTCAAATATTATTTTTAACTAGCTCAGCCCACGACTAAGCGTATAACTTTTTCATTTGTGTCATTGGAATAATACAAACACACAATTAAAAGTGAAAATTACCGCTGTAGATTAATGAAAAAAGCACCAAATTGATTTAAACCGTCTTTGAGATTAGAACAAACAGATAAAAATATGAAAATCTATATTTCAATACTATTAGGTTAATAAATTCCCGGCATAATAGTTTTCTCATATACTTCCTACCTACAGCGATCGGCTACATTTTTATTAAATATAGATTAAAAAGTGTCTACATTGACGTTTTTAATCTTATAAAGTGGAAAGAAAAGTCAAGTAAGACAGATTCCATTAGGGTGGTGCTGACCATGTACCAATAAAGTGTATAAATATATATAACAGTTACTAATATTATAAAGACGAAGTATGTCTATGTGTTCATATGTTACCTTTACACAACTGAACGGTTGCACAAATATTAATATAATTTGACATGATATGATCTGCTTCTTCCTTATCCCATTTATTTTGGGGTTGGCGTAATATGTTTTTCTCTTCGATTCACGAAATGTATATGTATATATACATTTCGTGAATCAATATACATTAATTCTCAGGAAAAGACGGAGTCGCGAGTAATAGCTAGTCTATACAAATAAATATAACTGCTCTTTAGTTTCTAATTTCATTTTATTAACAGTTTTTTTACTAAATGCATGTGAAAGTACCTATATACAAGACTTACATCAAAAAATTAATTAAAGAAATGGTCTGTCTGTCTGTCTTTTTCTGTGTACTTGGTAATCTCTGACGGTTTGACCGATTTTGACGGGCCTTTCACTAGCAGATAATTAATGTTATAAGAAGCAACTTAGAGTACTTTATTTTAGTCGTCGTCCACTTAACGTTTATAAAACAAATATTACGTGGACGTAGTGTGTCTGTCTAACCATTAATTTATATGTTTTATATCTTTCCACAACTAAACGGATTTAAAATAAAGAAGATATATTGTATCACTAGCTGTGCTCGCCTTTTCAACCGCGTTATATTTCAATCTATACATATAAATAAAATTAGAGTGTCTGTTGTAATATTGAAATAACCGTTTTTTATTACATGTATATGAATATAAATACGGTGCATACATCAAAATAACTTTTTTTACAATTTTTGTCTGTCTGTCTGTTTGTTCCGGCTAATCTCTGAAATGGCTGGACCGATTTTGACGGGACTTTTTTGGCAGATAGCTGATGTAATAAGGAGTAACTTAGGCTATTTTTATTTTAAAAGTATTTTATTTTAGAAAAATAAAGTTATATCCACGCGGACGAAGGCGCAGGAACAGCTAGTATAAAATATAGTCAGTGTGTTATTTTGATGCATAAGCTATATTACTGTAAAGTTTCATCAAAATCCGTTCAGTAGTTTTTGCGTGAAAGTGTAACAAACATCAATACTCAAAAACTTTCGCGTTTACAATATTATAAAGATAAGAAAGTACGTAATTTTTTCTGTACTAAAAAATAGACAAAGTCGCAGTTTACAATTAGTATATTAGTAAACCCTGTTTCTGTCAGGTGTGGGAGTACGACCTGCGTCGGGGTAGCGGGCGCCCAGCTCTCAGTGTCTGTGACAACTTTAGCCGCGGCCTTATTTATGCTACAATTAGATTTGCGATACGACGCATCCCTGTCACCGCCGCCGAGACAGTCCGACGCACAGATATGTACAGCAGTGTCTATGGTACGTATGTATTAAATCTCAGGACAATTCACACAGCGCTGTGTGAATTATCCTGATATCTTCTTCAAGTCTATGGAAAATAGATATCTTCTGGGTATGCACGCTACATCCTATGTCTGCTATCATTTCCCATCAGATGAGGTAAGACCAAGCGCAAACACTTTAATAATAAAAAAAATGTAGACCCAAGTTAAGCTAGCTAAAGCTTATGTTATGTGTACTAGACAATCGATATGAATACATAGATATCTATTTTTTTTTGTAAATACACACATAATAAACACAAAACCGATACAAACAATCAAACGCACGAATACAAATTTTTGTACCGTTCGAGGAATCGAAACTGCGACCATCGGAATTAATGCGGTGTGCTAAATCGCTAGACCATAGGTTTTTCTCTTTCATTCATCCTTGTTCGCAGTTATTTCGTTATTTATTCCCTTTCTTACAATATCATATTTCACACAGTAACATCTCTTTTTGGGCTTTCTCTGCCCTTATAACCAACCACATTCATATGTAACACCTTAATTAAAATATTATCTTCATTTCGAAGCATTACATGCCCATACTACGATACACGATTACTCTTCAACTTCTTCGACACAGGCGAGACTTTCATACTTCCTCTCTCGTATGTATTGCAATCTAAATATATATAACTTAAAGGTGACTGACTGACATAGTGATCTATCAACGCACAGCCCAAACCATTAGACGGATCGGGCTGAAATTTGGTATGCAGGTAGATGTTATGACGTAGGCATCCGCTAAGAAAGGATTTTGATTAATTCTACCCCCAAGGGGACAAAATAGGGGATGAAAGTTTGTATGAAACTTTGTCAATTTTAAACCCATCGGGTGAGACTTTACATGCATAAAGCTACTGTGACGTAAGCATCCCCTAAGAAAGGATTTTGATAAATTCCACCCCTAAGGGGATAAATTAACGCGAGCGAAGCCGCGGGCAAAAGCTAGTAGATTATATAATTACTAATTCAAGAAAGGAACTATCCATAAACTATGTCACAGTTTCTATAAACTCCCCCCCCCCCCCCCCCCCCCCCCCAATCTATTTTTGATACTCAAACACAAATTCAAATCAAAAATCATTTATTCATGTTTCACATTTGCGCTGTTTATGAACGTCTAGTTGTTTGTGTTAATATTTTTTCTGGATGTCTTTTCTATGTACACTAAGTATGTAATTACAAAAAAAGCATCTAAGTGGACAAGATAACGCTGTGTGAATTTAACATTTTAAAGAAAATAAAAATTCTAAATATAACTTTATTCCTGTATGTCTATTTCAGACTCTTATGATATGTCAAATCTACCGTCAGTTCATACCTAGTGCTTTTGAGCTGGGAAAAACTGCGATGGTCCAGTGTAGTAATTATTATTATTAAAAAGTCGTCTATGTACCTCAGTCCCGCCTATTTCAGCCACCAAGCCGCGTGTTTTATCAGATAGGTTTTTGTTGAAGGGTTAGAGATAGGGAAGTGAAATTATAGGATAAGAGGTAAGACATCTTAGTCCTACGAAATGGTAGCACGTACGCTGTCCGTAGTTTTATTTATGTATATAGGCGACGGTTATCACTTACCATCAGATGGGCAGTCAGCTTGCTTAGCATTCCGAGCACATAAAAAAATCAACGAATATTTTATATCCAAGACCAATTTACTTACCAATTTTCCAGTCGCCCGCCTTGACATATAGGGTACGTGATTCCCCTTTTTATATCGAAGTCGTGTCACATTTCTTTCAGCCGATAGTATCTGAAACAAAACAATATTCACTTCACACGTCGACGTGACCAGAATAGTTTGGGTATTCGTACTTTTTGGACTTTTGATGAGTCTTTCTATATTATAATAGTCTGAATAACACTACTCAACTATTGCAAGTTATTTAATTCTTGCTCCCAAAACAACTTACATATTTTTCTTGGTGCTTAATTCCTTACTAATCCCTACTAATATTAAAAATACAAAGTATTATTCTGACTGTTTGTTACATTTTCACGAGACTGAATGGAAGCTCCGTTCAGCCTCGTGAAAATGTAACAAATGGAATTTAGCATGAAAATATATTGTATCACGTGGATGATCCAAAAACATGCAGATGAAGTTGCATCTAAAATTATTAGTATTATAAATCCAAAAGTGAGTTGGTCTCATTGGCATCTTTTGACGACTAAACGGCTAACCGAGGCTATTTCACTGCAGTTTTTAGTAAAAAATATATTTCATACAATAATGTAGACAAAATCGTAGGTAGTAACTAGTATGTAATTCAAATAACAGGGTTGTGCAGAATATCTTTATGGTTTCTGCTTTGTGTTGATCAGTCAGTTTAAAAGCCAATTAACGAAAACACAATAACGTGTTCAACCCCAAACAATAGAGGGATCGAAACGTGTCTCATAATTAGCTCCATTGTTTCTAATACAATATATTAAACAGTTATTAACTTTCATTAAATTATAAAATTTCTTTCTTCATATAGTGATTTTCTCACGGTGACATTCTCTCGGCTAACATTTTTTTCTCAGTAGCATGTCAGCATCATTTAGTTCCAAAGCAGAGCTAAGCTAAGCTAAGCAGAGCTTGTGTTATAGGTACTATAACACAAGCTCTGCTTAGACAGACATTTGATACAAATACCAAGTAGCTTGCTTTGTAGGTTTTTTTTCTTTATCTGAGAACATACGCGTCTTCAGTTAATTAAGAGCCATATTTACAACGAAAGTTTTTACATGGCAAACAGATGCATTTTCCTGTTTCAATATTGATATAAGGCAGTGAAATTACAGAGTACCTACAGAAGCATGACACCTTAGTTCTCTGGTTGATTAAATATTTAACTTACAGATTTGTAACGCCTTTATTACAAGTACTATAAATAAGTTTTTATATTCTACCTGTACTGTATTATGTTTTTATTTTTCAACCAGTGTATAAACTTTTAATAATAAAATCGCCAACATCAACCTACTTTAAAATCAGATAAATTCTACAATTAAAAGAATATACGTTTTTTTACTGCATAATAATATGCGGAGTTTTCTGGGTTACATTAAAGTATCATTCTTCTCTCTTCTCTGGAAGTAAAATTTTAAATTCCTATGGAATCATTAAGAAAACAATTCTACAGCGATGGTAAACCACTTCACAAGGGGACGGTAAATTAGATTTCTTTGTGGTCAGATCCCCCATTCGAGCGAAATGAGATTCACTTGTAAAGTGTATTGTGTCGATTTTTAAGTACTTAATCTAATTTAATCGTAATACGAATATAAATGGAAACTCAGTAGATGTGACCTTTAATCTGACACTTTGTAGCGGAATATCTATAATAATTTACGTACTGTAAAAATATATTTGTACGTATACACGTATGCATGACAATTATTGTGTTACAAAGTTCCGTGAATACAGGACTAAAATTGTATGTGGCATCCTTGCCAATTCTTCCCATGTGGAAAATTTATAATCAGCGTTACAGAACGAATTCCGAAATCAAAATTATGTTAATAATATACTACATTTTTCATACATGTCCGAAACTCATTGTTAAAGAATTTTCGAAGGATATAGTTCTGTTAATAGTACTCGAGAGCACTAACCGACTTCTTGGCCCGAATTGTTTGCAAAAACCGCATTCCGAATGTGATAGAATCATAAATATTTCTAATTCTAATTCCTTTAGTGATACTACAATATAAAGCCTAAGGGAGTATGCAATATAGGAAAACCGGTTTCTGATTAAAGTAATAAACGGCATGACATCTTCGTCCTCTGGATATACCTACAACGAACGTGATGTCCTTAGTACGCTTGCCATCAAGTAGACTGTCTACCCGTTTGCTATTCTTTTTGTATAAGGAATCGTTTAATTAAAAAGATATCAAAATTCAGAGGTTTTAATTTAGATCTCTAAATTTTGTTTAAACAACTCAGCAAACATTAAAAGTTAAAATGATGAAATATATTTTTAACAGACTCTATACCTTTTATTTTACTGGTATAAAATTGCGATACGTTAATTTAGAGACTGTATTTCATAAACATAAAACTCCATTTTCGTATCAAAGCCAAACCGCAACTGAATTTTGATTCTCATGAATAATGATATGAGCTTTGATAACAATGTTTGATATGTAACATTTTATATGTCACATATACAAAATTAACTGTATGTATTCAGATTTTATTCATGTGAACATCCGCGATGTTGTAGGGATGTAAGATATAGTACCTTCACTCGTACCTGCTCATGTATATTTCTGCATTTCTCAACAATCGGCGTGGTCGCCCAGTGGTCGAAATTCTGACCATAATTATTGGACATTTAGTACATAATATTAAAGACAAACAATATTGATCTATTATCAATTTGATCACCGAATTTAACAATAAAGATTATATACGTAGATGTGTCAAATACACAGTAGTGTGTAATGTTTTGTTTTATGTATTTATTGTACTTTTTTAAGCATAATTTAATAACATATTAACATTCTGTACTCCTTATCTATATAAACTGTAAGTTTGCGAAATCTCATCAATCATCATCAAAAAATCCGTGTAATTTTCGTAAAAACGGTACAATTAACAAAGCGCCATCTAGTCCCACGGTAAGCAGAGCTTATGTTATGGGTGACATAAAAACAACTATACTTAATACTACTATACTAAATACTTAGATATGATTATTAAAAAAAAAATGTAGACCCAAGTTAAGCTAGCTTATGTTATGTGTACTAGACAATTGATATAAATACCTATATAGATATCTATTTTTTTGTAAATACATACATAATATACATATAAAACTCCCAAACTGATACAAACAATCATACTCATGAATACAAATGTTTACACCGTGCGAAGAATCCGCGACCAGTGGAAGTAAAGCGGTGTGCTAAACCGCTAGAACATAATGTAAACGAAACTTAACTATGATTTTATTAATTGTATATATTAACGTACCAAAACGTTTTTATCTTATATTCACCGGAATACCTCTATCACAATGATATTAGCATCCCCTTTACAATGGTACATATAAAGTGTCTATGCGCGCGTCCAAACGACCCTATTTTATCTCGCTTTACTAATATCATGTAACGTGTATCCAAGTCACGTTGTCCGTACATGTAGTGAATGTAACATCCAGTATTCCATTTATATAAACACTTTTGTATTATAGAGAAATTTAATAGAATAGAAGTAATTTAACATTTTAGATCACTCGCTGACGTTAATCAGACATAAATGTTAAAGAACTAAAAATATTTTAGTTTTTGGCTGTTTAATCTTTAATGCCGAGTGACTTACGAGATTTACAGTCTACCTCTTATAAACATTTTAAGGATATTTATGATAATATTTCTCAGGTTCCACTTACGTCCGTGGCAATTACCAGCGGTAACAGTGGTGATGGTGAACCTGGCAACAGTCCTCTGAATAAGGGGAAAGAACTTCAACCCTTACCGGCTGAGCCGATCACCTGATGCAGCGAAGCGGCATGAACTGATGAAGAGTCAGCATGTAGGAGAAGAGACAGCGAAAGACGAAGTCTTGAGTCTTGAAAATTTTGAAAAACTAGTGTTTTAGTGAAAAAAGTGTGAACTTATGAAGGAAATATAGAACACGTAATTACAGATTAAACAAATATGATTTATGTGTGCCTAGTATCAACCACAATTTGCTATTTGAACGTTGATATATAAAATAACATTCCAGCCAAAATCTTAGTTTTAGAATTGTTGTTGTTATTAAACAATTAATCCTTCTATTAAAACTTGAAAAGGAATTAAGTAAAAAAGGAGATTAATAACATCACGTAATTAAAGAATTAAAAAATATATGTATATATACATGTAATGAGTATCGCAAGCCACAACATTGTAAATTGGCGTATGAAAGGATGTATAATAGTTTAAAAAAAACTGTCCTTATTATTGATCTCTATTAAAAATGTGTAGTAATATGTATACTTTATAAAATGTATATATACTTTTTTATATTCCATACATAGATATTATTTTACCATTTTCATACTGAATTGATCTACTTAAATGCCTATTTATAAATAGCAAAATAAGCCTTAGAACATAACGCTTTTCTATTGTTTTTTTTAATAGGTAGGTATGTAGAAACTCATTATAAAAATATGCCATTAATGTAATGAAATTCCCATTTCTATTTTTAAGATACACACTGTACATATAATTCTACATATTATGAATATTTTTAAATGTTAATATAAGTAAATACTTAAAATTGTAAATATCGTAACTATTAAATGTATAATTTATATTTTATTATTTATAAAATATTTAAAAAATATTTATTTTTTGTAATACTTAACTGAGATGAAATAAACGTTTTTTTCTAATGGTATACAGAAATTATTTAACGTCACTTCGAGATCATTAATCCACAGAAATGTTATAAATTTAGTCAGTTAGCTCATAGTTGAGAATTCACTAAAAATTCAATAATAATGGTGCATGGAGGCCAGTGTATGGATGTCGATCTATGGGTATAGACCAAATAACGGTCGGTTTGATCAGTAATCTAATAGAGAAGGTCGTAATGCTTTCAGTAGCGACGTTGAAGTTTCCGTACTGAATATCTGTGGTCTCACACATGGCAATGCTAGCGGAATTAAACAAAACAATATAAATCAATGAAGCATTGAAATGGACTTCCGCAAAATAACACCAAATTCAATAAAATATAAAATAATTCTATAATATGTAGTATATATACTTACACCTAATTTATGTACGTATATTTATTCGTTAAGTAAATATAGTATATTATATGTGCCTATTTTATGTATATAAGTCCTCTCTTCTAGGTTGTCAGTGAGAAATTGCTTATAGCGATATGACCGCCATGTATTATTACTTTCATTATTTACTGTTTTTCTTATTTTTTTCTGTGTACACAATAGTTTATCATTATTTTTCTTCTTATCCTGTGCCTCATTTTTGGCAATACTGGTTTTTTACGCTTCGTGCCTATAACCACATTTACAGGCAGAAACCAAATAAATGCAATGAGTGTGAGTGTGTGTGTTATTTTTATTACTTTTTTTTGAGTGTGTGAGCTAAAAGTCTACTGCCGAAAAAAAACAAAAAATATTATATAATAAATAAAAAATAATAATGGTTATTATTATTACCAATCCTCATTACTAACAACCACGCCCCCCCCCCCCTTCCGTCCCTTATAGTTGCAAATTACAAATACATATTCCTCAATGTCTGAAACAAGTGGGTCAGGTCTCATGATGCGGACTAACGACGTACTTATGTGACTGCATCGCATGTTTGCACGTCATTTGTTTCTGATGTTCTTAGTACATACATACAAATCATACGCTGTAAAACAGAATTCATTCAAATAAAAACATTTGAAAATCGACTTTAAAGTTTTAACGTTAAAGTTGGTTTCATTTATTATAAAGTGGTTGGTTACAATTATGTGTTGTCGATAAACACTATGATCACTTATTGCATATTTCTAAAAGATTTTAATTTCATGCTTTCGACTTTAATGCTCGTACCGTGTGAGGAATCGAACCCGCTACCATTGGAATAAAGCGATATGCTAAATTATTAGACTACCGAGTCACTATAAAACACAAAAGAATAATCAAATGCTAATACCTATCTAAACTTCGTTCCAGTTAGTAGTTTAAAAGGTTTTTAAATTGCATTTCATTTGAGAGAATATCCAACAATGCGGATTAAGTGTCCCGCTCAAATAATAAACGCTTTAAGAGTTGCTTGCACAATGGATCTTTTATGCAAAAAATACAAGCAAAGTAGTAGAACATGATGTTTTTAAGAAAACCGTTACTTTATACTCTAGCATAAATAAAATATAAATTATTTTTAACATCACACTGCCATCACACGATTTAAGTAACAATCTCTACATCCTGTGAAACAAAGTCACCGCCTCTGTCTGTTCGCTTATATCTTTTAAATTACACAACAGATTCTAATGCAGTTTTCAGCAATAGATAGAGTATTTCAAGATGAGGGTTTATGTGTATAATACAAGCGTGTAATGGTATAGAACCACCCGAGAAACTCAAAGATTTGTAATGCATCCATACGAAACAGGGACGAGTTGCTACTAGTAATTAAATAAAGAATCCTTCTCTTCATAAATGCTTATAGAAAGTGACTACATGTATTGACACATTTTTGGAAATTGCGTACATAATATACGTAAAAAACGCAGATGAAATATAGCAATGATAATATAGAGGTATACCAATTATACAAATTTTGTGTTGTGAAAATTAAATCATGGGTAAAGAAAGCAATGTGCCAAACTACCAAATCACCGAAATTGTTAATACACGTAATATATCTATATATATTAACAGTGAAATTACAGGATAAGAGATATAAATATTAGATCTCTGGAATGGCAACGCACGAGGGGTGGTATTACGGGTGTCACATGATAAGGTGATGTAGTAGAATAGTACTGTTTGCCATCATCGTTGTATATGAATAAAGTATTCTTTGTTTATACACTACGGTGATGGCAAACATGTATAAGCCCCGTTTGATGGTAAATGTCTACTATAGACTATGGATGCCTGAAATACTATGGTGTCACGTGCGCGTTGCCAACCCTTAAGAATATTAGTAATTGGAACGGCAAACAAAGTGACGGGTCACCTGATGGGAAGCGGTAACCGTCACCTAAATACAGAAACAGGACTATACTACTACATCAACTTATCATGTGACACCACCCCCTCATGCGTTGCCATTCCAGAGGTCTAATAGTTACTAGGTGGTTAACCAGAGTTTAAAAAAGGCCAATTTTGGCTTCTTAGTTCTGAAAGCTACCAAGTACTTCAGATTATATTATCCGACAGACGTTGTCCTTTCTTAACTATGAATATTGAATTCACATTGGTATAATTAATAAAAAAAGAATCAGTGCAACTTTCTTAATTTTTTCTTTCATAGTAACTTACTGACAATGACAAACATAACAAAAAAGAATTAGCGTAATCGGTCAAGTCGTTAAGACGGGTTGTCGCGACCAAGGGAAATGGGATTTATTTATATATATATGTAGATTACTGACTGTTACTGGCAGCTTGTCTACTATTCAAATAATAAATAAATATTTGTATTATTTTGATACCTCCTTTTTATATATATATACATACTTTTTACTTTTTTGTTAGCCCTCATGGAAATTATACATACATAAACAATTTTTAATTTTTTTTTAACAATTATTAAATAGTTGTTATATTCCAACTATATATACCAGTATGTTATCAAAAGTCCATAAGAGTTTAGGATTAGTAATCGACGCTATTGTTACAAAAAACTTGATTTATTATTAAGTAACAGTACTAAAAAATACTTAAACTATTTTCAAAACTTTTTTATCTATAAAAAGCAACATTCTCTGTCTCTCTCTCACGTTCGTCTTATATATTATTTACTTTCAAGGAAAAAAAACGAAGTGAAGCCTAAGATCAGCATTAAAAACGAAAATGTAAATTAATATATGAAAAGTTACAGTGAAAAAGTACTTGAAATAGTGTAATTAATTCTTTTATAGTGTGCCTGTACCTGTGCCCAGCAATCAAACGATAATGTGTTGTCACGACGATTATGACCTGCCTTAAAATATAAACAAACCTGTAACAATTGTGATGGATCATGTGTACAATTTCAATACAATGAAACCGAAACGGTGGTCGCTGATGGAAAAGTTTTGTGAATACAATATATAAACGAGTCAAACTCACGATAGGTTTGATTGAATTTTGCTCATACGTTCGTTATATTTTCTCAAATATACGTAGTATTTAGGATGGCGAAGGATATAAACTATTTTCTGTCCTGCTAATGAATATACGGACAGAACCAAATAAAGAATAAAAATCAATCATTCAATATTTCTCTAAGTTAGAACATACGTGGTAGACACAGACTTTAATCGTAAAAGCCCGAGTATAAGCATTTTAAAAAATATATCTACCATAAGGAATAATTTTATTAAATATTGCTATATTTTATTCAAAAATGTATATCTGCAGGTTGTAAAAAAAATTGTACCTATGGTATTATTAAAATTCCCTATATAGCTATCTATCTAACTTACCAGCTCAGCACCTACATGAATTAAGATATTTTGATTGATTATTGAATATCATATAGATAATAGATTCAATCTTTAGTATGGAAACGATATAATTATATTTTATTTAAAAAAATCGTGATCTCAACTATTAATGTACCGGTGCAAAGCCGGGGAAGATCGCTATACTGTAATACTAGTATATAATTATAAAGATACTTTCACAAGTTTATGGGTTCAGTGTGAGGATATATATCATTATGAAACTTCGTACCGGTTCATTATATGAAATTGTTCAGCATCCCCCAATTATGCATAGTTGTGTCCACAACTATACAAACAGCCATCTGTTTCGTCCGTCGCAAACCTATGAAAACCGCAAAACAATAAACGTTTCCACAACGGGCCCCAACGGTTTAACAGAAATGGGAGATGTCATAACAATACCGTAATAAATACCGCAACAAAATGGAGATACGGTAGAATTTTTTGCAGTCATCATGAAATAGTTTCAGAAACTATTAATTTAAT